ACAGAGCTACCTAATTGTATAGGTGTTGCAGCTTGTCAAGGTTAGTAACTCAATGTAATTTATACATTCATTTTATTTTATAAATTATTTAGTCTCTGCGGACGGAAAACTTAGTTTTAGTCTTGGAAAACAAGATAGTGTAAAATGGAATCCGGGAGCTGGTTTAGCTAGTCTTCCTTCAGTTACTTATACTGAAGGTGCAAAAATAGTGATAGTTACATTAGTATGTTCAACCGATGAAAGTGAAGACTTTGACGCTTTGGGTGAAGCACCAATAAATAATTACAAATTTCGGTTGAGACATAAATGTGCCTGTTGGGATGGTTGTAAAAGTAAGTTAATTGTGACGCAAATTATTTATTAAAAATATCTTTAATATAGATACACCACCAGAAACATCAACAATCGCACCAGGAGGTGGGGGTGCTGGTCTTGGTGGAGGAGCTGAATTTATTATGATACTTCTTGTCCTTGTTTTTGTTTGTTTTGTCGGTTTTATTCAGGGAAGTTAAAAAATGAAAAAATTCATTTAAATCGTTTTATGAAGTTTTCAGGAAAACAATCGCATGTTTTTCAGTATTTTAATAAAGTCAGAATGATTATATTGTTTTCTTTATTTTTACATGATTTTGACTGCAATGTCTTCGTTACTGTGAATAAATAAAATACATCGCATTATTTTCATTGTTATGTGAAATACATCACGTATCATGATTCTTTTTAATACATAATTTAAATGGTTACTTTAGATCAATTCATGTAGTTGCCCTTACATATATAGATGTTCAAGGATATGTAATACGTAAGAGATCAATATAAGTCGTGCCCTACTTTTTCCAACGAAAATCATGATTTAAAAATTTCAATTATTTCATATTTCACATTCTTCATAATTAATAAACTACTCGAAAGTTCATCGCATCAACCCTCGAAGGGTACTTCTTCTGGACTATCTGAATAGTCTAAAAGGCACTAATCTCTTCTTAAGAATGAGAGTTGTTTTCATATTGAAACGTAGCTAAATTTTAGAAAGTTTTCATTTCATACATTTGATGAATTTGAATGATTTTCATGGAAAGATTCTCATGTGATTTTAATTGCATTTTTTTCGTGTAAAAACTATCATTTCATGAATTAAACTGTTAAAAACATTTGATGAATCCGATAAACATCAAATATTGTGTGCATTCTGTCATCGGAAATGCTATTTTTGTTATTTCTGGACATCATTTTTGATAGAATACATTTCATTTAAATGGTGTAAATTACACCATTTTTCTCAATTTGCTTATCCCATAGGCGCTTTGTACTCTCGTTTTCGGCTTCAAAAACAGGTGCATAACTTATTCCACATCGTATATTCTGGGTTGCTCTACTTGGTCATGCTAAAGATGGTGCAGTTTATGTATTTCGTCGAGTGTCAAACAAAGGCTCTGATAGCTATAATTCAGTTTAAAATAAAAACACTTATTAATGTAAGTAATTTTTGTGTGTAAGAACTTTTTTGAATAAATATTCAATCGAAAAAAGATAAAACTATATATTTTGAGAAATATTATAAGTAGAAATCTACGAAATTAAATTTAGTTATTATTAATTTCGGTGACATCTGGACAAGTGAGTTGATTGCAATTCTAAGAAATATGATCGAAATGAATCTCCGAATTTTTATCAGTTTTTAAAAATCTTGGTTATGATGTCGTAGCCTTTTCACAATGACTCAGATGGCATTATTTTTTATAAATCTCTATCTCATAATCTTAAATTATTGGATACAAAGAATAATGTATTAAAGCTAGAGGTATTCTAATTTATCTCATTGTTCACAAATCATAGTATAAACCTTCTATTATACCCTTAGAAAAAAATATACTGTCTTGCTACTCTCAAGTGTGTGATTTTTATAAATCTTTGAACGTTCTTTATATTGTTTTTATAGGATTATTGAATTTTTTGACGGTACTACAGTCAAGTTAAGTCAATACTTTATAATAAAAGAAAATTTCATAAAACTAGCATTTTTCTATTAAAGATAAAAAGTCACATAAAATATGATTAATTGATACTTGAATATAGTGGTATTTCTCACATGATAAAACAAATCGTTCATAAAATAATATCATTTCATACAAATAAAATGAAAAAAAAAAGTTCAGTCAATTAGACGATTTGCCCCTTAACTGTTATTCTCCATTCGTTCCATGGCGATTCATTTCTAATTAGTTACAATATAACTTTTGTGTACTTGAACAGTTATTTTATTCTATCATACAGTGATACCAATCAATTATTTATTAAATTGAACTGACGTCCTTCGCACATGAAACAGTGAATATTTATATTATGCACTTTGTAAGTTGGGATATTTCAAGATACAGTAAAACCTCCCTAAGATGAACACTAATGGGACCGCTTGAAAAGTGTTCATTAGAGGAGGTGTTCATCTTACAGAGGTTTCATATTAAATAAAGGTTTAGATATACACCATATAATATTAGTATGGACAAATGATAGCTATGCATCTTGATATTAAAATCTATTACTATTAATTCTAAAACACTATCTTTTTCAATTATTTCACATATTTATTCAATTATCAAGTGAAAAATAAAAAAAAAACATTTTTTTTATCTTTAAAATATTAAAGATCTATTTTGTTTTAAACAAAAACTAGTAAAAGAAAGCATTTTTGTCTATTATTCACATCTATTTATTTTTTCTAAGAAAAGTCGGTAATTGAGATACTATCGACCGAGATTTTGTACTTCGCAGTAATTGTACGATATGAAGCGTTATTTTCATTTTCACTAATTAACTGCATTTTTATAGACAAAGTTAACGTGTGTGTTCTGTTTCATTTTACAATCTTAGATAGAATGCATGTTGTCCTATCATATAGAATCGATTAACTCATCGCCGATTAATCACATTGTTTTGCTTGATCCATACATACGACAGAGCTTGTTATGATGAGTTGACCGTCGAAAACTGATTTATCATTTCCTTAATATGTACAGCATATTTTTTCAGCTCTGTGTTTCATAGAAGAACGTACAGTTAATCACTATATGTTCATTATATAGAGGTTTTCTTTTACAGAAGGGACTAAAAAAGCGTTCATTGTTCAGAGGTCGGAGGTGTTCATCTTGCGAAGGTCTGTTTACAGCAAAAATCGATCGGGGGGACCAAAAAATGTGTTCAAACCAGAGGTGTTCATTATAGAGAGGTGTTCATTTTGGGAGGTTTAACTGTATATCTTAATATTCACGGGAAATACCTGAGTAATCACATGACGAAGGGAAATCATGTAGGGAAAAATCTAGAGAGAACACAAGAGAGAAATATCTGACAGAAACTAAGAAAGAAATGACTACATCTAACAATATATGCATGTTCGTCACAAGAAAAAAGAACTAGTATCTATATAATATGTATGATACGTCTTTGTACGATATATGATATTACGATCAACATACAGTAGTAATAGTGACTGTTGCCCAAAGTTAATCATATTCAAGGCTTTACAATCATCAATAAAATTGATTAATAGTTAGGAAAAAATCGACATGGGACGAATTGAGAGTAACAGTCAAATCGAGAGGATCCTTTAATTCCCTGTTGTTCATATGCCATATACATACGTCTATTAACTATATTCTATGTTATTCAATCACAGACAGCTTTGAACATCAAAAATAAAAAAAAAACAAACTTGCGAAGGGTAGTAAGAAAACAGTGAGTACCAATAAAATAGAAAACTGAAAGATCAACTATCAGAAGGGAGTCTTCTGATACGTTTTTTTGCGTTATTTATTCAAACAGGATCATCTGACGTGTCGCTGACTGTATATCTAACAGCATGATCTCAGTATTTTTATTTTTTAGAAATCTAAATCTAAAAACCTTTCATGATTGAAGAAAATGCAGGCGTCTCTATATTTCATTCTCCAGTTCAATCATAGATAAACCAATCAATTCGAATCTAGACAAGCTTTTGTTATGTTCAAAGTGATTATGAGTTAACAAATTATTAAAATAGAATTCATAACTATGTTGTTAAACAAAAAAATTAAATTTCTAATCAAGTGTATCAGGTGCATTGA